TGTATTTAGTTACTTAAATGAATTATTACATCCTATCCTTTCTCCCAAGCAATACACGCACCACTATCGTCAATGAAGGTAGTAGGGCTCTGTCATGGGTTTGACTGCGCTTTTTTTAAAAATAAACTCCTAAGCCGATCAAGTGTTGCACCACTGTGCACTTTTTTCTTATCCAAACTTTTTCTTCGTACTCTTTTTTCTTCCTGTAATAAGTAGGAACACAATGGTTTACCACCTAATCGTCGCTACGAGGTGTTCCTGTGTGTCGGGCTGCGATGAGCAGCGTGCTGTTTCTCCCCTCACAAGGTTCTTTTTAGCAATCTGTAGGGACCCTCAGTTTCTCTGGTTCTCCTATTCTGAGAGCGAATCCGACGTTTTCATCCCGAAGCCCAGTTAAAAGTACGTCAATAGCAGGAATCACCAGTGTCCTAGTATCAAACCAGTCGTATGGTGGAAAATCTTCCTCTGTTCAACTAGGGCGACTACCGCCTGTGATGGTGACAATCTGAGGAAGGCTTCGACTAGGCTAACCTCGGGATAACTCCTCAATGGCACATACAGCAAAAATGCTGCCTCGGTACCGCCGCACGTGTACTCCAGTCCAGAACGACGTGCGGTGAGAAGAGCGATGAGCGGAGATCAGATCTCGGTAATACATAGGTTATCGCAGGAAGTGAACAAAACAAACACTCCCACGACACGCCGTAGAGATTACTTTAGCTCTGCACCTGTAAGATCTGAAGTCTCTTTAGACGTCATCAAACTCCACGTAATCTTCCTCCCTATAAGAGACGAAAAGCAAGAAGATAAACAAACGCCAATTAGATGACGGAACTTTGTCGTTCTCGGAGGAAAATTTCCATTACGAAAGGTTGGAGGCGTCGGCTTGGTCGCAGACTTTACTATTTTCCTTCTGTTCAGCTTATATGAAATCCTGTCACCGTGCTTAGCCATTCTTAATCTCCAAATTTCATTTGAGAAGAAAATCACTATTATCACCTACTACTCACCAACTTGTGCAGCTGATGAGAGGGAACTTTACGCGTTCTACAGCAGATTGGAGGAAGTAATCCCCAACGAAAAGTTTTATAAATTCGTTGTTGGAGATTTCAATTCCAGGTAAAGACCAACGAGAATGAATAATGGATAGGAAAATTCCAATTCGAGATCGTAATAGGAGTGGAAACTGCCTCGTAGGACTTTTATCCTCAGCACATTTCTTCCATGGTAATTGATTTTTCGAGAGGAGAGTAAATCACCGATGGGCTTGGGGTCTTCTAACGGCACTACTCATGCGGAAAAAAACTGGAAAGGAACTATCATCGCCTAAGAAAAGCAGGACAAGTCATGTCTGACGAGGATATTCTCAATAAAGTCCTCTCCTCATGTAATTGGCAGATAAAGGAAAACCAAACCGACGACTGCAAGCTGCATGTCGAAGGACTTAAAAATTTAAAAATTATGCCGCATTCGTCTCAGTCGTCTCAGTTCCTCAAGCGAGAAGCTCAGACCTCATATCCATTCCTACTAAGGATTTGCTGAAGGAGAGAAGGGGACTCAAGCTTTATCCTACTCTAACACATAACACGGCTGTTAATAAATGCCAGCTGTAGAAGGTCTTTGGGAGAGAATTCACATTAGTAAAGACAAAAAGTTACTGGAAGCAGCTCAAAAACATCTGCTCTGAAGAAGAGCTGTCGAGACTGTGCAGTCATAAAGTTCTGTTTTCCAGCCTGATGAATGAAGATGAGTCTACCACCACATACCACCGTGATAACGAGTTGATGACGGAAAAGTCCAGTTCCGATCTTTTCCTTTCCACAATACCCGTCTCTTATGCTGAACTATCCACATGAGGAAAACTGCCTGAAATTCTACCCTCTGAAGTTCGATTTGTGATAGAAAGCATGAAGGGACACGCGGTTTCAGAGCCCGGTAATATAACCGTCGATTTACTTCGAGCTGGATGCTACGAAATTCATTTGGTTCTCGGAAACCATTTGACATTTTGTTTTCAAAAGGAGAATGGAGGCCAATAGAGATTATTGCGCGCGATCATCCTGCCCAAAAATGTTTTTTCACTGTATTCTATGAGCTCTTCACGAGGATTATCCTTTCGCGCAAATCATGGGCTTTGGATGAAGCACAACCAGTTCACCAAACAGGATTTCCATAGGGATTTTGCTGCATGGACATCCAAACCGTGTGCGGGGTCATGGAAGTCTGTCGAGAATACTATCTGCCTCTTGTCCTAACTTTTGTCGACAACGAAAAAGCTTCAACAGCGTGGAAACGAATGGAGTCTTGTCGACTAAATACTGGGCCGGTCCTATATACGAACACTATCTGACTAATATTGGAACTCTGGTGCAAAAATATTTTTCATCAACTCCTTACCATATCCATGGTATTCGACAAAGCCCATAGTATCGCGAAAAATGTTCACTGCCTCGCTGCAGTAGATGTTGAAGTCGCTCCACTTGGTCAGAAAGGACATACGCATAGATGGTAAATTACAATCAAATTTTCGTTTCGCTGACGAAATTGTCTTTTCAATATGTGCCAACGAGGCAGAATTGGTGCTGAATTAGCTTAACGAAGAAGGAAAAGGTATTGGGCTGCGAATAAATTGGACGAAGAATGAAAAACCCACGATGTGAAGGAGAATAAATTGAGCTGGATTGTTCTCTGATTGTAGAGACCAGCTCGTGCGTGTACCTTTAACGTTCAGTTAATGGAGTCGGAACTCCGCACTTCTATCTTCGATTGAGCAGTCCATCCAGCACTTTGTTGTGCAGCAGAGACGTGAGTTTATACTTCAACCACCTCAAGATCTCTACAAACCAACCACAGAGTGCTTGAAAGTTGTCTTTTAAAATTTAACGAATACACACTGATTGCGAAACACAAATGGATCGGTGATGTGATTTGAAGAACAGATGGTAGGTGAACGAAGAGAACAGTGGATTTTTCTCCAAGAGAATGCAAGCGTCCTCTTGAAAGATCGCCCAAATGGGCTGACGTGTTCGTGACTAATGTCAACTATCATCGTTCGTTGTTTCACAATCACGGAATGGGCCTGAAGGATGTCACCATGTTCGAGGTAGACCATCACCATGGACGACGATTGCGCGAGAGAGAAACGAACGGAAATTTTATTGTAACCCGCGCTAGCAGTGAAGACATATCATCCAAGTATCCACGTAGGTAATGTGGGTAACGAGTAGGTCAACATTTGAAACTGAATGTGGTATTTCAACATCGGTTCAGTAACATTCTGTTGTAAGCAAGAATTACACTAAACAGGAAGAATTTTTATGAAAACTGTTCGGGAGAAGAAGATTATATTCCAATTTTAGAATTTTGGTAGGTTTCCAGAATCGACTTTCTCTTAACCTCGGCATTGGAATATGAATGTATCGTTTTCTTGTTCAGCAATCGCGAGGTTTTTAAACAACATACATTTACTTCCATAAAAAACAATACAATACAACGCTAGCTGACGTTTCGGCAATATCGCCTTCTTCAGAGCCGCTTTTTCGTGACTTCCAATGAGGAAGTTTAGAACAGCTGATTATNTGCGACTATAATCAGCTGTTCTAAACTTCCTCATTGGAAGTCACGAAAAAGCGGCTCTGAAGAAGGCGATGCTGCCGAAATGTCAGCTAGCGTTGTATTGTATTTGGTAGGTTTGTTATTAAGCCTATTTTTTAATGTACGTTTTGTCTATTTTTTAAAACATGTGGAATAATCCAAAAGGTCTACTTTCAACTAATGTTGACATTGGTAAGCAAGTTGTTTTGTTCCTACGAATTGTCACTGTTGAACTGGCGCTGCTGCTGTTATAACCAGTACTTCGGTTTTCGATGTAACGGTTCGGTGAAATATCTTTCTTGGGGGCAGTTTTTCTTTCTTTGAGGGTGAAATGACTCGTAGGTTCTCCACATCGGATGACAAAACTAAGGACAAAAGTTGTGTGTTCCAAATATGTTTGCATTCAGTTAATGGTATAAGCACTTAAGGACTATAAGGACTTCTATAAATAGACATAAATTCACTATCCGACCAACGGTTATCAGTCATATGGAAATTATACCACACTAGTGTTGTATTGTATTGTGTTTTTCTATGGAAGTAAATGTATGCTATTTAAAAACCTCGCGATTGCTGAACAAGAAAACGACGCATTCATATGCCACACTGTTCTTCGTAAGATGAGTGATCCTAGTAAATAAGTCATTTAGTGCTAAATACCTACAACTGGATTAGGTCTGTAGAAGGTTGTACTTTATTTCTTTTGGCTTGTGTATATTTGACTGCAAATTGACTACTTGAGGAAATTTCTAATTTGGAAATAATAAATGTAGACATGCACCTTGGTCAGGTTCTCTAGTGTCGGAATAGTGATATTTAGTTCCTTTACTGCCACTGATCGCCACTGTAACACACACGTGGAATCGGTCCTGAGGTCCATGGCCCACCAAGCCTTCCATCCCTCCGGAGTCGGCAAATTGGTACCAGACTTGTCTAGAAGGATAGCAGCACTGGCTCGATACATCGGTAGGCCACCGCGAGTCATTGTAAAGGCCAGATATGCATTCAATCACCTCCAAACGATGCTTATTGAATTCGAATTCACGGCGCACCCCTCAGGGATCGATCAATGCCGAGAACTTTATTCTTTATTTTATTACCGCGAGGTACACGTTGAAGGCGCTAAGTGAAGTTATGTATTTAGAATTCGTAAATTCTACTTTATCGCTGCCTCTGTGACATTTATGTTCGACTGTTTACTGGGATTAATATTAGTGTAAGGTCTTAGATCTCCATATTAATGTCCAAGTAAATACATTGTTCATTATTTTTTTTTCTTTACAACATTCTTATATCCGTCCGCCATTGCTTATTTTTCGTTGTATTTCCCGTGTAAGCTTACTTTCGGCCCTGTATATGTTTATTCATTTTATAAAAACACTTCAGATGACCTAGGTTGTACTACGATGTCGTATTTTCTTCGAGAATTCGTCCCTCGTGATTCATCCTCGACGTTGAGCATTCCATCACCTCAGAAGGTTTCGGAACAGTACGGACGTCTTATCAAAAAGTACTATCCTGTGCGATCGAATGACAGCGTTTTGCGGGTACCATTGCTGAAAGATAGTGATGAAGCTCAACGAGGTATTGTGTTATCGAATTTTGGTTGAGCAGTTTCAAGAACAATTGCTCTTAAAGGAACATTTAAAACACTTACATGAAGGTGATCGGTAACTGGGTCAGTCTACGAAGAAAAGTAGCTATAAATGAAACCGGCCTGCCACATTCCTGGTTTGTCGTTTCTTTCCAAGCTCCTAAAAGGTCTATGTTATTCCTTCTCTTCCCTTTTTTCACTGTTCTATTTTGTCTACATGTACTTCCTGCTTAAATGTAGTCTGTGGTCTTTATGGTAAACTCACACCCGTGAATAATCTTTCCCTTTCAAGAGCCAACTTTTTTTGTTGAAGTAAAATAGTTTTTTAAATTTTTTTAGAAAGTTGTGTCCTCCCAAGGTGGTAGAAAAAAGTGGCAAGCTACTTTTTTCAACACACAAATGTCCTCTTTTCCCCTTTGAAGCAATTATGTTGCATTTAGATCTAGCTCCTACTTAGATTGCTTGTTAAGAAAAGTCACATTCGACGTGCATTCTGAGTTTTCGTTCAAAGCACGCTGTTCGTTATAGATATATCACTTTTTCACTCGCCTACATGATTTCTTGCCCAGCATCTAGTTGATACGATTTTTTTCGAGGAGGCATGACTTGGTTCAGTTTAAAACGTGTGTACATGTACTTCACAACGAGACGAGAGATTGTTATTGCAATGCAACCACAAGGATGCTAAGGTATGAGCAGAACTCGGAACCTCAGTGAGGCTTCGAACCCGTGATTAGGCACGGACAGCACGTGAGCCATGGGTAGGCGTAATTACGGATTCGAAACCCAACTGAGGTTCCAAGTTTTGCAGGTATCCCAGCGTTCTTGCGGTTGTATTTCACATAGTGCCTTGCCGTGAGAAAGGAATAGGCAGTAAATAAAGCTGGAAACATTGCTAATACAATATTTATTCCACAATAGGTAACGTTTGAGCAGATTCTTCTGTGTACAGCAAGGATAATATTGGCACGCAGTCTACTCCGCAAAATATTTTCGTAACCGTAACAGATGAAAAGCTTAAAGTCTAGGTTTAATTCGCTTGGTTAGATTTCATATGTTTCGTAATAACTTGTTATCTCACCTCTTACCTCACGCTGATTTTTTGCTAGGACGTGACGTAAGCTGGAAGAGATGGAATTTACTTACATTACATTCGCCGTCCTGAAGATGTTAAATCTCTTTCTAGCCTGAATAAGTTTATTGAAGCAAACCTCTACATTGTATCTATCCCGCTCGCGTTAGTACATTTCCTATGTACTATGAGGCGATATATATTTAGTGCATCGATTTCCAATACCGTCTTTCAGTTAACCACAGCATTGTTCAATAAGTTAGTGTTTTATTCTTGAGCAGACGTGACGTTATCAAGAACAAGATTTATTGAAAAACTGCTGACGTCTCGGCAGCAGCAGTTTCGCTTCCTTTAGAGCTTGGAGAGGTCAAATGACATGCCATCTACTCAATCTAACACTTACATACCAGCACTATATAGACTTATTGCGTCAATTTTCATTCGAATAGTAAATAGCGACAGCTGCAGGTGGTAGTGGGTTGGTTAATGATGCAGTTGATAAGGTAGCAAGGTATAAGTTCGACCTTCTCTCGATCGATCTCCTTTAACTTGCGTGGGAACGTCTTAGTTCGGCTAACTCCATGATTGGAAAGAGAACCAGCATTTTACGACATTCATAACGAAGACGAACTCCTCAAGCGGCTGCTGAAATAATCTGCGAAATCACAATGTTATACCTTTTATTTTCTGCCTACTATAATTTCGCGGCAGGGTATTAAGCGAAATACAACCACAATGTTGCTGAGATATTTGCAAAACTCTGGACTGCAGGTGTCTATGGTGGGGAACGAACGCGCTATTGTCCTTTCTGGGGAGTAACGCGTTCACCACCACACCATGCGGGTCCTTTGTTTCGCCTGTCTATCAGCTTTCAACTACAGCCGCAGCTTAACTGGGTTCTATGCCGATTTGGGTGCCCCAGATCAATCCCGCTGACGGGTGATTGTTGTGGCAAATATCGATAGAAATAGCTGAGAAACAGGCGAAACAAAGAACCCGCATGGTGTGGTGGTGAACGCGTTACTCCCCGGAAAGGACAATAGCGCGTTCGTTCTCCACCATAGACACCTGCGGTCCAGAGTTTTGCAAATATCTCAGCAACGTTGTGATTGAATCTGCGAAATGTTCAAAAACAAGGGCGATGAATGAAAACGAATCGAATACGGAATGTTGGGGTCCGCACAGTAAATGTGATGACGAGTTATGTGAAATAGATAAACATTAGTAAACACCTTTTTTTAAACACTCACCGTTTTGTTCTTTATAAGACTTCCAGTTGTTATTGGAGAGTAGCTGCGCACAGTCTCACTTGCCTGAGGAATGTACCTAGCTCGGGTCAAAAAATCAGCCTGAGGCAGTTACGGGGTCACGCGTCATCACAACACAGTCCTTGCAGCGGTTCTTTTTCGCATTCTTGGAATTCATCCAAAGTTCCTAGAATATTGTTGATCTGCTTTCATCCAATCTGATTTGCTTTCATGGTGGGAACCCACCTTGCAGTGGTCGTTGTTATATTAGCTGGCACATAGCTGAGAAATATTTCCGAAAACCGACATTTGTTTAATCTCGACGTAAATAATCAGTATTTACTTGGTTTATTGAGCCAGCACCCTCCCAACGGTTTATCGCCTCATCGTGACTTGAAGGTGTTCCTGGGTATGGGGTTGCGGTGTACAGCGGAGAGATTCATCCACCCAGCAGAGCTTCCTAAGCTGAGAAGCAGTTCGGCCTTCCATCATGAGGCCCATCTAAGAGTGAATCAATACCAGCATCTACCACCGGCCTGGTATCAAACTAGTCGCATAGTGGCAAATCTCCATGTGATCCACATGGCGGCAGCTGTCTATGGTGATGACGACCAGGACCAGGCTGACCTCGGCACTCCGGGGAAACACTGTGACTAAGCCAGGAAAACTAAAGGGCGGAAATCATGCTGGGGTCTAGTGAAGGTGGGCTATCCAAATATTCAAGTAAATATTGAGCTAACACAAGGTTGGTAAAAGGATTTATTCAGCTAATGTTTTGACTCTTTCCACTTCTTCAGAGCCGGATTGATTCGCGTGCATTGCCCATAGATGTTCATGCTGGCAATGTGGTTTTTCGTTTTCGTTACATGAATTTCGTTTGATGGTATTCAAGTAGATTCCTTTTGTAATCCAGAGTTAGCTTTACTAAAAAGTTTCCGTCTTTCATCATAAGTCAAGTATTGTTGGTCGGTGGGAGCTTTTCCCAGACATGTATGGTATCAATTTGCTGATTTTGGAAGTATCGGGGCTTGGTGGGGCAGGTCGAACCAGCGACCATCGTTATATGGTACAACATTTTTAGCCAGATCGCTTTCTGGGTTTAGCTGTATTACAGCATACTGGAACATATAGAAAAGTATTACAGTTGCTAATGTTAGAGCAACTGTTGAAGAAGTACGTTCGCAAGTAAATGAAAATGCTGAGCAAGATGCTCGCATGTCGTTTTATCGATCTCATTTCTGCGTTACATAAAAATCATTGTGTTTAGAACAAAAAACGAAGACGATGTTCATTTCTTACTTACACAGGTTTTAGTTTGTCTCACTTCTTTCTCTTCCCTTGTAAAGGAATTTAAGTTCCAACAATCCAACAACTACGCTGTGCTTCTCGCGGTGTATTATGTGCATTGAACTCAACACTGCGGTTACAGTGTGCCCCAAAGATGACCACGCCCCTTTTTATTTTTTGTTCCTTCTTATAATTCGCTTGTGGCGCAGTGGATGGAGGCGCCACTGCGACACACATGTGGAATCGATCCCCGCGCCCATGGCTCATCAACTCATCCATCCCTCCGAGGTCGGTAAATTGGTATCAGACTTGTCTGAAAGGACAGCAATACTGGTTCGATATATCGGTAGGCCACCGCGAGTCAGGCCAGATATGCATTCAGTCACCTCCAACAATACATAATGAAGTCGAATGCATGGCCCATCCCTCAGGGATTGATCAACGCCGAGTGCTTTATCCTTTATCCTTTTTTGTCTTATAATTCAGTTTTTTCGCGCAAATTTTTATGTTCCAACTTTCCTTTATATGCTGCATGCCCGCCATATTCTCCTACATATCCTCCTATGTTTTTAGAACGTTTTAAACCTTTTTTGTATGGTGAAAAGCTTCAAGAGCCTTCCAATCATATTCCTCTCAAGATTTGATGACTTAGTCAATTTCCCAACATATATTGAGTACTTCAGTATTGGTTTGTATCGTCGATTTTCGGCTTTATTTGAGCACAACGGAGTTGAGAACCTGTAAGAAAAGATACTTTGTGCGGAAGTATATTGATAAAGGCGCATTCAATGTGCTTACTACGGAACAACTTTGTATTCTTTTGGCATACAGCAGCCCTAGTGTTAATAAGAGAGATCTTTGTGTGTTGTGCACCGAAGAAGGTTCTCTGTGAAAGAAAAAACTTGTCTGGAAAAGTTTTTCGTCAGATCATAGGCATACAGAAAACTTTCCACTTACTACGCCGTGAATAAAATTTGCGTAGGTTAAGTTATCGAATGAGTATAGAAAACTGACAAAAAACCTTGCGAGGCAAATAAACAGCGGAAAGAAAATGCATTCAGAACAAGGTTCACTGTCCATTCTGGTCCGACTTATGCGTTGATTTCAATGATTATGCTTTAGAATATGTTAGTATTCAACTTGTATTCTTTCTTTGATAATCTTACACTAGGTTGATAAATTGACGGCTCTGATGAAGACGAAGGCGTCGAAACGTTGGCCGAATAGAATTGTTTATAAACCTTGTGTAAGCTTACCAAAGAAGGAATGAAAGTTTATCAGTCATACCGTGGTTAAAGGAAAGTCGGTTTTAAAATACGTTAGTATTATTCTTTTCGGGCGTATCCCGTTGATGGGTGATTGCTGATAAAGGATGAAAGGATAAAGACATAAAGGACAAAGGATAAAGCTCTTGGCGTTGATCAATCCCTGAGGAATGCGCCATGAGTTCGATTTCATTAAGCATCGTTTGGAGGTGATTGAATGCAAATCTGACCTTTACAATGACTCGCGGTGGCCTACCGATGTATCGAGCCAGTTCTGCTATTCTCCCAGACAAGTTTGCCAATTTTCCGGCCCCGGAGGGATGGGGGTCTTGGTGGGCCATGGGCGCTAGGATCGATTCCACGTGTGTGTTGCATGGTGCCTCCTACCACTGCGCCACCTGCGCTCTGGTTGCTGATAGCATTTGTAAAACACGGCTGAGAGAAGGGCGATACGAAGGATCCGCCTGGTGTGGTGTTGAACGTGTTAGGTCTCGGAAAGAGTAATAGCGTGTTCGATTCCCACCGCAGACACCTACTGTCCGAAGTTTTGCAAATATCTGAGCATCTTAGCCCTTTTATTTACTGCCTTTTTCTTTTTAATGACAGGGTATATTGCGAAATATAACTTTATATCTATAGTTATATCTGAGCATCATTGTGGTTATATTTCGTATCATACCATGCCATGAAAAAAGAACAGGCAATAGATAAAAAGTGACCACATAAACTTGGTATCGTTTTTTTTACTTATTTGGTTTGGTTTTCTAGCTTTGCTTTTAGAAATCGGGCAGTTACCTCAACTATCGTCGGAGCTATCCAAAAAAATTCACGTAGTAGGGCCTCCTTCCTCTTTCGCTACAACTGCTATTGCGAAGACTCTGTTGGCGAAGTTAGTTTCAGTTCACGACGCATTTCATAGTATTCAATTTTTAACCTTATCGCTTACGGTGTGCTTTGTAATTTTTGTGCCATTTCTTTCTATTAATAAAAAACCCTTGTCAGATACGGAGATTTATTGGAAAAGAAGGAAATAGTGGAAAATGCAAGCAATTCCAATCGTATGGAAAACTTACGTGGTGGAGTAGAGCGTAGTGATCATGCAACGGTAAGTTTCGATATTTACAATACCCGCGGTTTGGTTTTCATCTCACACATCTTACATTGTTATTTCTACACTTTTTTTTGTAAAGTAGGATGTGATTCTGGTCCGTCCACAAGCCATTTTCGTGGACACCTAATTTCCGGTGCTGCTGTTCTTGGTGATTGCTAGTCATTTCCCTATTACTACTGGCTAGGCTTCTAGAATAGGCTTTACCATGTCACTCGAAGGGTATCAACAATTCTTTGTTTCAATTTTCTTCTTAGAATTGAAATTTTCGGAAAGTTGGAAACAAAGCTTAAACATCAACGCTACACTGGAGGAGACTGTGTATGCCACGCGGGACTTCTTGTAAGCAATAGTCACAATGCCGGAAACCTCAAACTTGGGTAATTAAACCGTTTATTATAATTATACAACAATTATGGCATAACAATACAACTGTACAATTAATACAACAATGATACAGGTAATGAATAGGCGCAGCCTGATTTCTTGTGTTCAGGTTGCTCAAGAGTGAAGAGGTTGTCATAAGACTTCGACCACATGAGATCGGTGTGAGGAAAGGATATGGTGATTTGGGCAGCATTGCTGTGACCTGAGCTAGTCAGCCGTGGAGCCGTTTATATACCCTTTGGGTTGGGCGGAGTCAGGCTACAATAGGCGGAGTCGCGTTACAGTAGGTGGAGTCAGGCTACAGTATGCGGAAGGACGGCTGCCGGAAACATTTCACAAGCGTTGCAATCTGATAAGGCGATAGTCAAAGCATAGGACTGTAACTGCAGATGCTTTTCATGAGATAACCGCCAACGAAATGTTAGCCATGTGGTTATCGGATCGTTATAAGGTCACCGGAAACAGTATTTGAAATGTTTGGCATAAGGTTGTAATTGATTTACATAGAGAACATTCCAATATTCGTAAAGAATGTTCTCTATAGAGACCATTGTGTACTATTGGCCGAAACTCCACTTGTCTAGTCACTTCACGACTGTAAATACAAACCTGTATTAGGTGCTCCAAAAAATGCGCATTTTACCATTGTATAACGATAGAGTTTGTACTGTGCAGGCAAAATTCAGTATGTTTTTGAAGTTTATTTGCTTTTTATTTTTCTTTTCGTGGTAGGGTATTATGTGAATACATCCACAAAGATGCTGAGATAGGAACAAAACTCGGAACCGCAGATGGGCTGCTTCGAATTGGCGATTACCCTTTCCGGGGGTTAACGTGCTATCCAACACATACATTCTCGTTAAAGGGTGATTGCTCATAACACTGTTAGAATAAAAACCTGGGACAGAGAAAGACAGAGCAAGGGTCTTGGTTGGTATAGTGGATGAAACAAGAGCTCCTGGAAAGGGTAATCTGGTTCGAAACCCAACTGAGGTTCCGGGTGTTGCTCATATCTCAGCCTGCTTGTGGTTGTATTTCACAGAATTCGGTATATTTAAATGGATTTTTGTTTTATTAGATGGATTTCACCGGTTGTTTTTTCGGACACTTGGCCATTGAAATCAGTGCACTTCGGGCACAGTGTGTTGAGGTTGCTAGTTTTTTAATGGTACTTCGTACTTATTAGCAGCAGAGAAGTGATCATGGTAATCTTTTGATACTGCTCCGTGTTAATTTGTATGGTACTATGTAATATAGTTTTTGTCAGGCTGCATTCTGCTTTCTTTTTCGTCTCACCATTCTAGTTTTTATTATGCAACTGGGTTTTTTGTGTCGAGTTTTCGAATTGTATTCCATTGGATCTCAGAGTTAACTTCGGGACGTTTAAACTGCAGATTCCGACCGGACGTTGTGTGTGCTGGTTATATTTCATAAGACATCGTTTAAATATTTTGTGGGTGGTGCGCAGAATTTTCTACGTGGTCGAAGTACCAACTCATATCTGCACTGCGTAACAAAGCGTTTGAAGAAGAGTTAAATCTGGAAGGTGAGCGCGGAGTTTTGGCTGCGTTAACAGGTAGCTGTCTTTGGGAAGCCTGGACGCGGTCCGTTTTGCCTTATTTCTTTTCTCTAACTCCTCTCTTATGCTATGCTATATGTCCATTGAACGCTCAAGGCACCACTTATAATATGGTTTCTAGTCAGAGAATTGTCCAATTCGATCTATTCACCGTCGAAGGTTTTTTTCAATGGATTGGGTCTTCTTCTGATTTATGCATGGTACATTCTTTTTTCTTTCCGCCTCATTGAGCTAATTGATTTATCGTCTCCGTTTCGCCGGTATTTCTTAAAAAGATGGTGGTGTCGGCAGTGAAACGAAGGCAGGAATTTGCGTTCATTTCGTGCACCATTCTCACTCCATCTGTTCCCTTCGTTATTCACTGTAGTGTGGCTGTGAACAGTTTTGGCGAAATGATGTTGACTTGTCCAGCTTTTTTTCCTGTAGTGATATGAAGTGGTCGATAGAAAAGATGTCGTGGTGCAGTTCCTATACAGTCAACTAGCGTTCTTATATATACACACATCACACCTTGATTGGGGAGCGCTTGTAGGTTGTATTCATCTAGACGCTGTGAAACGTTTTTCAATGGTCGAGAACATTTCGAACAAAGATCGGATGGTACTGCCAACAGACTTCGATGAACCGTGACACTGTTTAGATATGGTCCATGCAGTTGAATACCTGTCGAAATCCTGACCGCTCAACTGGTTTTAACTCACATAGAGTTCCTGATAGTTAGATTCATTTCCGGAAACAGGTTGTAAAATATAATCAACTAGTAAATTGGAAGGTAGCTGCTAAAGCATATCCTCTGCTCTTTTGGAATATGGTCATTTTGAAAACAAGCTATCATATGGGTTGCAAGAAGCGCATGGAGAATCTGGCTTACTCAGTAACGCAGCTATAATGTTGCTGTGTACTAAATCTCTCAAACGTAACTCGAATTTTAGAAGGAAATCCCAGGAGTGTTCAGGCATAGGTATTGTGAAACGAAGAAAGTTTATATACAATTTTCTTGTTGGTATCAGTATCACAGGGGAGGTGGTAATGATCTCATGTTCTTTGGTGAGGGCTTGTAGCGAAATATTACAACTGCAAATCCTCCGACTGCATTTCGTTGCGCTACTTATTTTGCGTGCTCCCAGTTGTTTTTTCTGCCTACCTCTACCGATATAAATTTCCATAAAATCATCTGCAGTTGATTAGTAACCGCTTATGCCCACTACTCTACGATCAAATTTCAGTTTTCTTCATATCTCTAGCGACATCTTATTGGTGGTGAGTAAGCTATCTTCCCGTTTGAAGAAGTGAAGTGTGTTCGACATATCTTTCTCGTTCGAAAAACAGCTCCTAGTCTAGGCTGCTAAAGTCTCCTTCATATGAGGGACACCTAGCCGGTTAGTCGCGAGGCTACGTGGCGCGTCCTCAGGTGGCGGATAGGGGGTTAATCGCCGACCAAAAGCGACCTTTGCTTCCTTGAGACGCAGGTAGATCCAGGGGATGGAATCCTAGTTTCTCTTGCGCTGATTTGGCACATACTTTTTGTATTTGCTAGCCGTATTCATGCATGCGTGTGTGGGTGAGTTCTTGCTTATGCGGATTGTATTCTACGAGTCAATTCGGCCAAAAGCTTGCAATCAAGTGACTGAGAAGTATATGGAAGGCGGTTAGAAGTCGCCTCCAAGAAATCTCCATGTCCACTTTGGGGGAACCTGGTAAGCTACCCGTGAGTATACCCAGCCTCCACGTTAGAGCCCAGCAAGCTATACGTGGGTATCAGAAATGCTAAACACAGTAAAAAAAACGGGCCTCATCTCTTGGCCCCGAAAGAGCCTCCAATTTCGCAGCGTTGGGTAGGACGAGTACGGAGAGGCTGCTAAAAACTCAGGGCCAATGGAAGGTGCCTGGATTTCAAAGAACTATTGTGACGATCTGTACCTACAATGCACGTACACTTGCATCCGAGTTCTCGATAGAAGAATTGCTCATGCAAGCAAGAAGGGTAAAGTACGACGTCATCGGCCTGACTTAGATCCAGAGCTGAGCGGAAGGAAACGAGCTGCTTGGGGAGCTTTCAAGAGCATCGAGGATGTAGTGAGGAAAACAAAGGACACCTAACTCCGTGCCCACCTTTTCGATTCAACGGTACTTCGTGCCCTAACCTATGCGTTAGAAACCTGGTCGCTGCGTAAGCGGGATGAAAGGTCACTCAGCGTTATCGAACGCGCATTCGAAAGGACGATGCTAGAAGTATACCGTTCCACACAAGTAAGGGATGGGATCCGGAGGTCCGATCTGCATCAACGATCAAAAATCAAAGATACTGTTCTGTACGCCTAACAGTCGAAGATAAGGTGGGCGGGACACGTAATGCGTATGAATGAGAACCGATGGACAAGAGCCGTTAGTGATTGGATTCCTAGGGATGTCAAACGTACTGCAGGAAGACCACCGACCCGATAGTCAGAGTTCTTCACAAAGAGCCTCAAAGAAAGATATAATGCTCGACGAGTCTCTAGAGCGAGCAGAACCTGCTGGACTACTGTTGCGCGCAACAGGGAAAAATGGAAGATTTACTGGCGCCCGCTCAAGTCATTTGGCGATCAGCGGGACTACAGGTGATACTGCAGTCTTTGGCTGGGTCTTCTTTGCTGTGCCAAACATGTATGGATAAGTTTTCATCAGAATGTTTTAATCGAATATAATACATTTGCCTTTTTCTTCTTATACGATGACAAGAGTTCTTTCCAACGTATGGGTGAATCGATTCCTCGTATAGAGAAGTTGGTCATTACAACCAGCCATCGCCGAGGCGCGATATTTTGCTCGTGAGATTGTCGAACTCCGCAAGACTATGCATCTGAATAGTACTCCTTACATACTTTTTTAAAAAATAGTTGTCAGATCTTCTATAATATCGAAATCTCATGCCGATCGAAATCACAAAGTGCATATAAAGTGTGGTGCGTGACACAAAGAGACTAACGGTGTTCGTCGGGTATTAAGGGCTAGTTGTACAAACAATACTTGCTACAGAATGTTTCATAAAATTGTGCGGCGTAACCTTCTCCAACGGCGTAGGAAATAACTGAACGTGAAAAAAAGGGAATTTTGAACAGAAACCGGTGAGGGTTCATGTTCCGTTCTGATATGTTGTTATGTATGTATTCTTGCGTTTTCGATGTATTGGGGGAGTCTTCTTGTCTTGAACAAATTAACGCCATAATTGAAATTATCGTGTTTTACATTGTCTGTAGCAAGTTATTTCAAGGGTACTCAGTTGGTGTGCGTTGGCTTGTCATGCGTTTTCGATGTTCTCCGACAGTTAAGCCGAAAAGATTCAGAGCTTTGTGTTCAGGCACTTGATTCGCTTATGGCTTTATTGCAGGTCAGGAATGGTATCATTTTCTAATATAGCAGTGATTTTTCTTTACTGAACACAATAGTACTCAAAGTTTCTATATCAGAATTTGCCAGCTGATAGTTTCTGCAATGAACCGAGAGCGTCCATTGAGGCTATGATGAAAGTGTTGCGATATTTACGTGAGGAAGGTGAATGTTTCTCTTTTAGAACTTTGTTTTCATTAACACGCTCGCGGCAAATGACACCTATAGGTGTTATAATGGCTTTGCGAGAGTGGCATGTATGGCATCAACAAGTTTCATTTTCTTTTCAAGAGTTTATTTTAACGTAGAGAACCATTTTCCTATACTTTTTTTTACCAATTGATAGTTTGTAGAACATAGGTGTTTGTGTTAGGCGTTGTTCCGGGAAAAGTTCTATACTGGACTTAAAAATGTACAAAAACCCTTCTTCCATACGAGTTCACCACAAGAAATTTGCATGTTAGTCGACCACTGTTCCAATTCTAATTTCTATACTGAATGGTAGTTATCGTATAGAGTGTGCGGGTATAAAAAGTGTTGAAATAAGGATCAAAGGTTGCTAAACACTTCCAAACGCTGACAGTAATGTCTTTGTGTGAAGCACTTTGCTAGCACAGTAAATAGCCTTTACCGATAAATACAATTGAACCGGTGGAATGATAGAGCAAAGCCTTTTCTACAATATATTCATGCTCATAACTCGTGTTATCCTTTAGTTATCGAAATATTATTTTTTTAAACTAGAAAGTCGGTAAAGGCTGAAAATTAGGCGTTCTCCAGTCTGCAACAAATCCTGGATTATACATCGTCACCTGAGTGTTAAACGTTGGTCACTACAGTTACGCTCTGGAATCGTGATTTTTCCACTGTTCCGTTTGGATTGGTTGTGTGAAGGTAGAATCTAAGCGGTGGGAAACGTTCTTCTTGCAGTGTGTTGTTGTGCGGGCACTATCATGCTTCTGTAACTTAAACCACAGATTTGGCCAACTGCATTTACTTAATCTATCCATTTGCTTAGAGGTCGATCAACAACTGTACAAACGCTCTTAGGGATATTGGATAGTTTCGACACATCCATCATAGGGGGCGGGATGGAAGGGACAACGACATAACACATCTACGACAGTGCAGTGATTTCATTCCGTTCTTAAGCGGAAGTAATTTTGTCTTTCAACTTCAAAGGAATATATCTCAGCTTGTAATGAATTTTATTAATTGGAGTAAAAGCTGTTATAATCTAGAGACCTTTTTCAGTAGTTATATCAGTTTATCAGTAGGGTGCAGATTTGCTATTCTACCATAGTCATTTTTCTTCCACTTTTTCAATGAGGCTGCTATCTTGATTAGCAATACCATCAACGCAATAACTTCCATCGTTGAACCAAAAAACATGAACTTGTCCACGATTTGAATACGGAGAGTGCTGTTTTTTTTCGTCAATAAACGATTTATTTCTGATAATTAGAGAACTTTTGATGTTAAGAACATCACAAGGTAATAGAAGGTTTCTTTTATCCATCTAGAGGTGTTTATATGCTACGTTTCACTATATTTCGCCTGCCAAACACATTGAAAGGATTACATGTGTCGAGTTCATTTCGTTATTTCTGACAACCGACCATTCCACGATAGTCATGACCAAATATAAAATAAAGGGTAGAGTTCTTGGGGTTGATCAGTACCTGAGGGATGCGCCATGCATTCGACTTCATTAAGCTTCGTTTGGAGATGATTAAATGCATATCTGACCTTTACGATGACCCGCAGTGGCCTATCGGTTCATCGAAACAGTGGTGCTATCCTCCCAGACAACTCTGGTACCAATTTGCCGACCCGGAAGGGGGAAGGTTTGGTGGGTCATGGGAGCGGGACCAATCCCGTGTGCAATGCAGGGGGCCCCTTGAATGACTGTGTGCGCCACACGAGTCCATTACGTTTGAGATATAGATTGAAATATTGTTTATGAGAGGAAAAATGAATGTGCAGTAAATTACACTGCTGTGAATTAGTGGATAGAAGCAGCACATGTAAGGAGTTTTGCCAATCGTAGTGTAGTGCTTCGTGCAATAAATTTACAAACAGATAGCTCAACAATTGAAGACTGTTACATAATATTAACTTACTATTTACTGCTTACTCTTTTATGATGCTGAGATATTTGCAAAACTCCGGACCACAGGTGTCTGCGGTGGTGAACGAACGCGCTATTGCCCTTTCCGTGGAGTAACGCGTTCACCACCACACCATGCATGCCCGTCGTTTCGCCTGTCTCTCAGCTAGTTCTATTGATCTTTTTCGTTCCCCACCGCAGACACCTGCGGTCCGGAGTTTTGCTTATCTCTCAGCATTATAGTAGTTTCATTCTTTGTTCACGATTAAGCTGACGTTTCGGCGGATTTCGCCTTCCTCAGAGCCTGGAAAGGACAAGTTGATAGCAATCTACTCGGCCAGACGCCTCCATAACCAAACAAAGAAACTCTAAACCAAGATTTCAATAACTTTGAACACAGCTTTGCACACTTACCGCTTCCTATGAGGTTTCCACTAAGTATGTCACGTAGAGACCAACCGCACAGAAACCACGTGGAAGTATAATGCGCCCCTCACAACAGAAAAGCAGTTTTATATACTGCCCTATATCACGCGTGATAATGAGGCATTCTTCCCTGCGGTTCATTTTCGGATTTCTGGAATTAATCCAGGGTGCCTCGAGAGTTTTTCGCGTCTGTGTTCTTGATTCGCGTGCGAGGATCGTGACACATACTTCGAAGTCGTCCCCGTTATGTCTCTGGGTCCTATGCGTGCCTAGCGGGGTATTTGGTCTATTTTTGCCGGCTAGGTGTTCTTTCATGCGCACACAGAGGGGTCTACCCGTTTCGCCAATGTATTCGTCACCACACGTCTTACAGGAGATCAGATAAACTATACCCGAGCTCATGCAATCACCGTCTCTATCACTGGGGCAAATTATGCAATTTTGAGTTGCACACAGACGGTCATATAGGCGGTTACGAACTAGCTGGCGCTTAAGATTACTCGGTGGTATTTCAACTACGCTTACCGAATTCTCTAAACCCGCCCTTCTTAAGCAGCGTTTTATAGCTGT